CGTACATATGTAGCACTACGCCTCATAAATTAATTATTAGATATATTTAGTACTTAATAATAATTGAAATTTAAATAATAATATTATTATATTAAAATTTTTATTTTTTTCTATGCCAAATTGTACATGTTTGAAGGTTTCGTTTTGATTCAGTGACATTGAATCCTGAATTAGAACTGTTCACCTCCAATAAATTACATGTTCAAACCTCACAAAATCTTTTTTCCTTTTTCTCATTTAATTTCATAAATAATTATAAATTGTTCAAAAAAAATTGTACCGGTTTAAAAAGAAAAAAAGAGAAAAAAGCTAGCGTACGTACGTAGAAACGTGGCTTCCTTTCCATCACGTGTTCTTGTGTTTTTTTTCTTTTGGTACATGTTCTTGTGATTTTTTTTTGGTACATGTTCTTGTGTTTTTTTTCTTTTTGCTCAGCATTGGCTCTAATTTCCAGCCGTTGAAATCAAACCTTGGTAGTTTTGATCATGTGTTCTTGTGTGGCCTCTTAAAGTTCTAGTTTGGCAGCCAGTTACCAGTCAATACACAAAGAAACTAATTGCAAGAGCACAGATGGCTGCTGTTAACCCAACTTCATCCTATGACCGATTGAAGGAAGTGAAAGAGTTTGACGAATCCAAAATCGGAGTTAAAGGTCTCTCCGATTCCGGTATCGTCACCATCCCTCGCTTCTTTGTTCACCCTCCGGAGACTCTCTCCGATCTTAAACCCAACACCTCCAAATCCTGTGCTAACATTCCCATCATCAACTTATCCAACAAAGACTCCTCTACTCACCGTCCAGAAATCGTCAACCAAATCAAAGAAGCTGCAACGACCTGGGGTTTTTTTCAGGTGATTTTTTTTTTAAGAAAAAAATTATGCAACTGATCTCGACTTTGTAATTCACAAGGATAACAATTTTTAGTGTCGAGACACTTGCAAGCTGATCTGACTCTCCTTGTAGGTAATCAACCACGGAGTACCTGAGTCAATACTCGAAGAGACTATCCGAGCTATTAAGGACTTTCACGAGAGGCCACATGAAATCAAAGCGAAATACTACAAACGGAACGAGAATAGCGGTGTTATGTACTCCAGCAACAATGACTTGTACCGGTCAAAGGCGGCCAGCTGGCACGATGCGCTGACTGCGTGGATGGGGCCATCTCCGCTGGAAGTGGAGGAGCTTCCGCAGATCTGTAGAAATGAAGTTATTGCTTGGGATGCAAATGCCAGAAAGGTGGCGGAGACGGTGATGGAGTTGTTGAGTGAAGGGTTGGGATTAGAAGCCGGTAAGTTTAAGGAGCTGACCTTCAGTGAGGCTAGAGCTCTTGTGGGACATTGTTATCCCTACTGTCCGCAGCCGGATCTGACGATGGGGATAACGTCGCATACGGACCCCGGAGTGGTGACGGTGCTGTTGCAGAATCAGATTCCGGGTTTGCAGGTGAAGCATGAAGATGACTGGGTGGCCGTCAACCCCGTGCCTGGTGGTCTGATAATCAACATTGGCGACTTTCTTCAGGTAATTCCAAAAAAGGAAAGGAAAAGAAATAATTTAGAAGTTTAATTTTCGAGGTAAACAACAAATAATGTTAAAAAAGTTTCATTTTTTTTATCCTTTTTTTTTTAAAATAAATATACTATTTACTTTTTAAACTTTCCAACTCAAGTAGAAAACTGTCATCGAGTACTTGGCAATTAAAAATAAAATTTGATAAATTCCATTTATTAGTTTTATAAACATAACAGAATGGGTTGTACCATTTGAATTTGTACTTTGAGATCAACTTGTTTAATTCTGAAATTCACACACATTAATATACATTCACTTTTATGATACTTATATAAAGCATGAAAAGAAAGGCATTTATAATATATATTGCTCTTAGTTTGATTTCATTAATACTGCAGATAGTCTCCAATGGAGAATACAAAAGTGTGCAGCATCGGGTGTTGGCCAACTCCGATAAGAACCCACGAATTTCAGTGGTTGAATTCTTCAATCTGAGCAAATGGAAAGGAGATGGTTACTACGGACCTCTGCCGGAGTTGCTGTCGGCAGAGAAACCGGCGATTTATCGCAATTTTACACAACAAGAGTTCCTTGAAAATTTCTATGGCAAGGGGTTGGATAGCAAATCCCTCATTGATAAGATCAGAATTCAGGGCTAAACAGTGTTTGTTTCAATTAAAATTTTGTATCTGGGCTTTGTAACTTTTAAAAACTATAAGTTACGAAATAATAATCAACTTCATGTTGATTAATTATGTATCGAAGTCAAGTCATTTAACTTGTGATGAAGACACATAATCTCTCTATTCTATAACAATATATATATATATATATATATTAATCCTTTTCCATTATTAACACACCTTAAAAACATGTTATCTGTTTTTTATTGATAAAAAAAAAAAAAAAAGAAGAGGAGAAACTTTCTATATTTTACTTTAAATTCCCTCAAACTAAAACCAAACAGGCATTTCTCAATCTTATCTTTTAATACAACTTTTGCATTTGCTCATACAGGAATTTTTTTAATTAATTTTTGAATTTAACAGAAAATATCTTCACTTTTTAAAAATATTAATTTCTAAAGTGTTGTCAAGTTTTAAATGAAAATTTTAGCATTTTTCAGCTTTATTATGAAACGAGAAATTAATTCGGGAAATTTTGTCTAATGAAAAATGAGATTAATAGAGATGATTACTACTTTGTCCTCAATTGGAAACATTTAAAATTTGAGATTTGTTTCGTAGGGACTCGATTGTGATAAAGGGAAAACATAAAGGCCAATTAGTCAAGATCGTAAAACTTACGGACGGGCCGCAATTTCAAGACTAAAGGACACCATTTTTTCCTCGACTGAAAGTGATTTTACAAATAGAGAGGCCCGGGGAGAGAGGGGGGGGGGTGTGTAGCTCGAGTTTTCCAGTATCGCAAAACACCAAACCATAACTCAATTCTTTATTTTTTAATAATCTAAATAATTGAGTTGTTATTTTTTTATTAAAAATAAAAAATTTTAAATTTAAATTGTATATGATGAAATAAAAAATAAAATTTATACGAGAGGAGCCTATAAGGCTTCCGTATAGAAACGTGGCTTCCTCTCCACCACATGTTCTGTTAAGTACCTTCCATTCAACGCTATCCTAGGTTTACATGTCTTTGAAGCCATTCAATACACAAGAAACTACTTACAAGAGCATAGATTTATGGCTACTGCGAGCCCAACTTCAACCTACGATCGATTGAAGGAAGTGAAAGAGTTCGACGAATCCAAAATCGGAGTTAAAGGTCTCTCCGATTCCGGTATCACTACCATCCCTCGCATCTTCGTTCACCCTCCGGAGACCCTCTCCGATCTTAAGCCCAACTCCTCCAAACCATGTGCTAACATTCCCGTCATCGACTTATCTAACAAAGACTCCCCTACTCACCGTCTAGAAGTTGTTAACCAAATCAAAAACGCTGCAACGACATGGGGTTTCTTTCAGGTGATTTTTTTTCTTAAGTTTATGAAACTAATCTCAACTTTGTGATATTTTCCAAAAATAAAAAAAAAAATCAACTTTGTAATTTACAAGGCTAACAATTTTTCTTTTGAGGTGTGTGCAAGTTGATTTGACTCTCACAGTTCTTATTGGTCCTTCTAGTTAATCAACCACGGAGTACCTAAGTTAGTACTTGAGGAAACCATTCGAGCTATTAAGGACTTTCATGAGATGCCACATGAAATCAAAGCGAAATACTACAAACGGGATGAGATGCGGGGTGTCACGTACTATAGCAACAATGACTTGTACCGAGCGAAGGCAGCTAGTTGGCATGATGCACTGAGCGCGTGGATGGGGCCATCTCCCCTGGACGTGGAGGAGCTTCCGGAGATCTGTAGAAATGAGGTTGTTGCTTGGGAGGCAAATTCCAAAACGGTGGCGGAGACGGTGATGGAGTTGTTGAGTGAAGGGTTGGGATTAGAAGCCGGTAAGTTTAAGGAGCTGACCTTCAGTGAGGCCAGAGTTTTTTCCGGAAATTTTTATCCCTACTGTCCGCAGCCGGACCTGACGATGGGGTTAACGTCGCATACGGACCCCGGAGTGTTGACGGTGCTATTGCAGAATCAGATTCTGGGTTTGCAGGTTAGGCACGAAGAGGAGTGGGTGGACGTCAATCCTGTACCTAATGGTTTGATTATCAACATTGGCGACTTTCTTCAGGTAATTCCGAGAAAAGAAGGGAAAAAAATAATTTAGAATTTTAATTTTCGTGCTAAACAAATAATATTAAAAGAGTTTGGCTATTTTATTATTAGTATGGTATCAAATTACAAAATATAAAATATCTTTAAAATGGGCTATCAGTAGGGTCACTCGTGCACTTGATTTTTATGACTTAATGATTAGTGTAATTGAAAAAATACATGTTTCTTTTTTCTAATCGGTTTCAAACCTAATTCATGACAGAAAAAAAGTAAAAAAAAAATAAAAAAAAAGCCACTTCGTATAAGTGATATGTGTTATATATTAAGTCTTTCTCTAATCATTTTTATTTTGTGTGATACAAATTGAATTATTTAATACATTTTTAATATTAAAACTAGTAAAATATAAAAACCCAGCATATGTACGGACTGTAATACTGTTGACTATTGATGGATTTATAATATAAGATAATTCTTTTTTAAATGTTAACTTATATTTATTTATATATATCATATAATTTAAGTTTAAATTTTTTATTTTTATTAAAAATTATTATTATTAAATTATTTAAATTAATATTTAAGCTCGATAGATGAATACTATATTATTGGTAATATATAAAAAGTACTGTAATTAGTCATATTTAAAGCTGAAAATGAGCACACATCTTATATATATATATATATATATTGGAAAAGTGTACA